AATTTATCAGTTTCACATCAACATCAAAGATCAGAGGTTTATATTACTTATAGTATTTATGCCTATATTTCTAATCGGCATCGCTTTAGACAGGACTTTAATAGCTGACAGAATAATACCTCGAATCGGATCCCTTCTTAACTCTGAAATAAATTTCAGAGAATATTAGCGGGATGTGACTGAACAATTATTTGTGCATTGATGATGATTGGCTATTTTATTCCATACAAAATTCAAGTTAGGTCGGTTGTCCATATGATAGATTAGTCAGTTGAAATGTTTGGAAGACTCGAGCATTCTCGGTGGACCATCGGCCTTGATCACAGTTCTAATTGGAGCTACCAAGTGCGAATATGCTATTCCCTCCACTCCTAGGTGTGACGAAGTCCTGATAACATGGGATAGGCATTTCCTCCGTCGGGTCATGTCTACATATTGTGAGAGACGCTATAAGGCGTCTAACTAACCTTAGTCGATGCGACTAAAAGTCCCAATCTACATTTTGACGTCCCATATTTTTCCGGATACAAACGAAAAGAGTAAAGGTTTTGCATTAAATGATTATATGCTGTCACGTTATACTTTTTCGCTTACCAGCGGCGACGGCATGGGTTTGTAGTATGCGGGGCTCTCGACAATCACCGTGCCGTGAACTTCACCCTTGGGGGAGATCGCGATTAACGACGCATTTTCGCCTGCTTCGAGCTCGATCGATGTGACTTTGCCAGATCTGTACATGAAGTAGATGGCGATCTGTGTGCAGCTTAAAAAGACACCAACTATGTTGATCACCGCTTCTACGATGCCTGAGCCGGTCTATAGTGCAGTCGACACCAGGATCATAGTGCACATATTAATCGGGATGGAAGCAGACGACTTGGTACTGATCACGTGCTTTAGCGTAGCGAGTGGAGACGCGAACATCGAGAAACTGAACGGACATCCAGCGTATCCGAGAGACGTTCCAACCTCTGACTTGGTCTGACCGAACACGCCAGAGACGCCAAGCACGACATAGAGCGAGACGACGCACCAGATTGGAAAGGTGATCGCGTAAAGCTTGCGTAGGCGTTTGCGCTTTTCCTCGGGACTCCACCGGTAGTATACAATATTGTATAATATACCAACGATCTCACCAGCTGAGAGCGCAGTAGCGGGAACAGGCTATCTGTCGCGTATCCGTACGCCATCCTGCTATAACGGGATAACGGTTCGTCATTTCAAGGTAAGTAGTGTGATCAAAATGGCATGGCTACATTTGTACGTACCAGAGGTGGCAGTTGACGACCATCGTGATGAGCGGCAGTTCGACCACTTCTCCGATGTTTTTGTTGCGATGATGTCTGGCACGGGACTCAGACGCAGGAAAATATCGGCGACACCCGTGGATACATTCAGCAAAGTCACCCAGAAGCCCATAGTGAAGTCGGTCGTAGGAGGGCGTCGTCTGTTGTCTTAATGGTCACATAGCGAGCACTGAGAGAAAATTTAAATGAGTCATTCTTGAAGCCTCTGGCAAGTCGGCATCGACGTCACTCGGACATTGCAGTACGATTGAAACTATACGAAACGGCGTATGTAGTCTCGCCGTCCTATCCGAGTGCTTACATCTAAGCACTCGGATAGGACGGCTCGTCGGTGATTGAACGTAAATGGATAAATTCCGGTTTGGCCTTCCAAACATTGCTGTTGTCTAAACAGGACAAGCGGTGTGAAAGACCGGCACGAGCTTGGCCACCACCAGTTCCTCGAACTGCGCCCGTTTGGCTTATGACGCCGCGACTTACTTCACCTATTGTGCAGTTTGGAATCGGCGGGTACTTATCCGTTTTCAAAACAACGGACGGATCTAAGTGGAAACCGGAAGACAGCAAGAAACCAGTGATACCTGGCGGTGTGTTGATAATGATACATGTACCAAGGAGCTATTCTAGTGGACTTGCACGACTCACA